CTAGTACCACGACCCCTTCTAAACCCAGCCTGGTCTTCTGGTAGTTCTCTGCTGATGTGCTGTTCCAGTTGTTTTTGGATGATCTTCAGTAAAATTGCTTGCATGTGAAATCAGTGAGATTGTTCTGTAGTTTCCACACTCTGTTGGGCCACCTTTCTTTGGGATAGGAACAAATATAGATTTTTACCAACTTTTACAATCAAGATTGAATTATATCCCCTTCAAAATACATGTATGCAGAATAACTAGTATCACATGCAAGCAAAATCTTGCTGAAGATTAACCAAACAAGACTAGAATAGTACATCAACAGAGAATTACCAGAAGTTCAAGCTGAGTTTAGGAGAGGCCATCATGGCACTAGGGCATCAATGTTAATGTCAAGTGGATCCTGGCTGAACACAGAGTACCAGAAGATGTGTATCTATCTGTGTTTTATTGACTACACAAAGGTATTTGACTGTGTGAATCAGAACACATTGTGGCTACTCTTGAGAGGAATAGGAATCCCAGAACACCTGATTGTGCTCATGTGAAACCTGTTCTTGGACCTGGAGGCAGTCGTAAGAACAGAGCAAGGAAACACTGCATGATTCAAAATTAGGAAAGGAGTTCATCAGGGATGCATCCTCTCTCCTCACTTCTTCACTCATATGCAGAACAGGTCATTTGGGATGCTGGTCTTTATGAGGAGGAATATGGCATCAGAATTGGATAATCACTAACTTGTGCTATACAGATGATACAATCTTTTTCTTTGAAACCGAGGAGGGACTGAAGCATCTGCTGCAGAAAGTCAAGGACTGCAGCCTTCAAAATGTACTGAATCACAACGTCATGAAAACAAAGATTCTTAACACTGGACTAATTGGCAGCACCATGATAGATGGAGAAGAGATTGAGATTGCTAACAATTTCAGCTTGCTCAGGTCCACAGTTAACACTCTTGGAACCAGCAGCCAGGAAATCAAAAGATGTTTTGGATTAGGAAAGGTTGTTATCAGGGACCTCTCCATAGTGCTGAAATGCAAAGATGTCAGTCTAGAGACAAAAGTGTGCCTTATCCAGGCCATGGTTTATGATTACTTGATATGCATCAGAAATGTGGACAATGAAATAAGCATGGCAGAAGAACTGATGACTTAGATTTGTGGTGCTACATAAGAGTACATAAATATTGTGGACTTCCAAAACAACAGGAAAGTCTACCCTGGAGAAGGTGTGGACAAGTTGCTTTCTGTAGGCAGATTTTCAAGACATGTATTTTGAGCATGTTGCCAGGAGGAACCAGTCCTTGAAGAAGGATATCATTCTTGGAAAGGTGGAGGAACAACACAGGAGAAAAAGACCCTAAATGAGATGGATTGAAACAGTGACTGGGGTAATAGGGGCAGGTGTGCTTGAGATAGTGAGATTGGCTCAATAGAGAAGAGAGTTCAGAGCAATTGTGCATACAGTCGTTATAAATTGCAGGTGACTTGATAGCACATAACAACACAGGAAGAGTGATATAAAGTGGAAGCTATGTAATTATGTCCCATGATCTGATAAATTGAATACCTGTTAAAAAGATCAAGAGTAAAATACAACACTCTTAATATCATCACAAAGTCAACAGCTTCATTTTTGTTTGATCCACAACATCCTTGGTAACAGCAGGCAGGAAATATGGAGGCACATTGCACTGTGATAATCTGCGGTTAGGGACATCTTTAAATTATTAAGGAGTGATGATGTCAGTTTGAGGACTAAGGTGCATCTAATTCAGGCCATAGCCTTTCCAATTACTTGCTATGCATCTGAGAATAGGGATGACAGAGAAGAACTGATGCCTCAAGCTATGTAGTTGGAGAAGAGCACTGTACATCCCACGCATGGCTAGGAGAACAAATGAATATATCTTGGAGAGGGTGCAGCCAGAGTGCTCATTTGAGGCAAGAATAATGAGGCTTCACTTTACATACCCTGCGCATGATGCTAGGAGTGTCTTTTCCTTGGAGAAGGACACAATACTGGGAAGGATGGAGAGTCAGTGACTGCTGTAATGGGCTCTTGTGTATCAGAAAGTGTGAGGATGGTGCAGGATAGAGCACGCTTCAGATCTTTTGTTCATTGGGTCACTATGAGTTACACTTACCGGCACCTAACCAAAACATCATCACAGCTCTATTCAGCATGAGGGAAGTTTTCCTAGGATTCCTATACTAACTTTTATTCACAGTACAGATGAAAAGGGAAGGAAAGTGAGCTGGTACATGGGCTAGGACCATCACTATCATTAAGAAGTAATTACTAGAAGTCTACTTTGCTGTTTCAGATAGTCTTTGCTTGAGGAAGCTCCTTGACATTAGGAAAGGCTAGTATACATGGAGATCACCGAGGAATGCCAAATCTGTAGACGCTGAAAGAAACAAGGACCTTCTTCCAAATTCCACAAAGACAGAGAGGAAGAGTAAAAGGCAGAGGGAGAGGGAGAGGGAGTACAATGGAAGAAGGAGAGCAAAAGTGAGAGAGTGAGAGCGAGAGAGATAGAGAGAACATTGCTCTAGAGTTTATAGCCTGGATTAAGACTTGTAACTTTCTAAGAATTTTTTTTAAAAAAAAAACCACAGAACTCAGGAACTATTATAAAAAATGGGAGACCCTGGAGGACATTATACTGAGTGAAATATCTCAGTCACAAAAGGACAAATACTGCTTAGTGCCACTAATGTAAAATGGGGCTGACATTGGGTTTGGGGGGAACCTAAGAAAAAGAGATGTTAAATAATGTATACTGACTGCATTGAAACAGAAGAAGGAGAGAACTGTTTGAAAGGAATATATGATTAGGTATCATTTTCATGAAAAAAATTCCTGAAAAAGAAATGCATAGTTGAGTAGGCTGTGGTCTTAGGGAAGGGGAGGGGACTGTATAAAAATGAATTTTTTTTTTTTATCTTTTCAAAGAGAAAAGTGAACTGGGGGTAGGGGTAGGCATGAGGAAAATGGATGAAGGAATGAATGGGGGAAAATAAATGGAAGGAATATGCTGTAAAAATATATATGTTGCATTTTTAAAAAAAGAAGAGAAGAAATTTTTGTTGTCTATCCACTTATCGTATTCCTGTTATCCTAGGAGTAGGCAACTGAGACCATATGTCTTACACAGGTATATTTAGTACAGAAATGTTTCTGCGTTTTGATCTGACACTTCTACTTACCTCCTGGTTTCGGTGGAAGAGAAACATTCTTCTCCTCACTCCTTAGAGGATGATCCATGCGCACAGTCACATGTTGGAGGTCTAAGGACCACACCGTCTCCAAAGAGATGTTGTCCATCTTAGTGACAGTTACAGTGCCATTTGGGTTCTGAGCATGGTGTTCCTCAGGTGGATTACTCAGAATCTGAGAGGGGGAAAGTGATATTTGAGGAGGAGGCTTTCCCACAGCTGAGTTAATGATGCTAAGAAAACCTTCAGAGTTGGGATTGGACTGGAGTTCAGTTCTTAATTCAGACACACCTGAGGGGAAAAGAAAAAACCAAATGAAAATGTAAGAAATATGTCCATCAAGTTTCCATTGTATTAAAGACTAATGTCTGAACATTGTTATATGAAACCAAAATGTTGAAAATATATCCCTCTTAAAGAATTCTATTTATATTTTACAAAATTTCACAATTGCTATACCTAAGAGAGCTCTGACAGCTTAATGGTAAGGAATTGTGTTACCATTGCAAAGGTACACCACTGACATCCACCATCTGCTCCTCAGGAGAGATGCAATCAACTCCTAGGTAATTTATTGCCTCTAAAAATTTGAGAGTCTTTTCCAGCTTTACAGTATACAACCACCACCAGCAACAACAGGTACAAAAACTGAATACAAACTATTTTGAGTCAACTTTTATTCAGTCTTAGAATTATATTCTCTACCTCCAAATACACCCATTTTATGACAATATATTAAGGAAATGGGAAGCCTTATTATTTTATGGATTGCATTTTGTTGATTTGAAGTCTAAAACCTTCTGCCTTTAAATTGGTTCTGCCTCATAGTTACCATTCATTGGGTTTCCAAGATACAGGATGAGGCTTCACAAAACAGCTGGTGGATTCTAATGGTTCAGTTAACTGCCTCATATGTTGCGCAATATGCCACCTGGGCTCCTTTTGAAGGTTAGGAGGTTCTTACTTTCTTAGATCTTCACTTCTCCTTTTTCTCTTTAACTATTTCATTGTCTGCTCTTTCTGTAACTCTGTGGTGAGAAAATCACCATAGAATCTTAATTAAATTTATTACTGATTTAAAACCAGTGCAGTATATTATAAGGAAGTTAGAAAAAAAGAACAGAAGACCTGAATTATTTGCCCATCAATAAGTTGTAGAATTATCCTTGGCTTCTATTTTCACTTCTATTTAATGAAAGATTTGGTTCATATGACCTCCATTAGTCATTTAATCATTTAGACTCCTAAAATCCTTTTTCTGGACACCCCCATTATTTATCCCAACAATTTGCCCCACCAGAAAACATATATATACTTAGAATATTAAGGCAGGTTTGTCCTCCATGACTTCCATGTGGAAAGATATTAAATAGACATTTGTAACACGCTTCATCCTCAAATTTCACTTCACGGATAGTGATGAAGGAGGAATTGGGCTCAATGGTCTCACACTGCAGTCGATTTAGGTATGGTGGAAGGATATTCATCCCATATTTACTGCTATAAGTGCCAATATTTTGTGGTGAAGAAGGTCCTATCTTTTGCCAGGTAATTTGCAGAACATCTTTTAGAGTTGTCAAATTGCAGAACATAGTCACGTTTTCCCCCAGGGCAGCTGTTTCACTTTTTTTGCACCATATCCTATAGAAAGAATCTGGGGAGGAAAAAAACCAAGACAAAAATAAAACCAACAACTTATAGTAACAGAAATGTACTTTCACACTGTGCTGAACTTACTCATATCATATAAACTCCTCTCTTTGCGTAGCAAAATTTTTATATAGTTGATTTCCCCCACCAAAAGACATACTCCTCTTTTTTAAATTGTAACTGGATGTCCAATTTCTAAAACTTTTCTGATATACATAAGCAAATTAAGAAATATTTATTGAATGCATGAATTGAAACATAAGTTAATCAATTGAGGATGACTATTGTTATTAAAAATTCTTTTAGGTAGTGGCTCTCAGATAATATCTTTAACTAATACTAAGCCAAATGGTTGCTATGAGTCACCTACGAATCCATGGTACTTAACAACAAAAACAACAACAAAAATAACAACAACGAGAGAGCTCATATGGCCTAGTGGACAGAAAGTGATGCCTCCAAGCCAAAGGTGGGTGACTTTAATTGGCGGCCCTCAGGTCTGGTTTTAATTGCTTTTGGTCAAGCTTTCTTCTAGGTCATATAGCACTGATCTGTCCATTTGCTGTACAGAGGTAACTTGTGGTTGCTGTGAAGCTGAACACTGTAACACTGATGAGTCAAATGTGAGAATGGTTACCCATGTTTGGTGGAGCTCCCAACTGAAAATAAGTTTGGAAACAGGAGTGGCATTCACTTCCAAAATAGCTTGCCTCCAGAAACGCTATGAACGTGCAAAAGCAATGAAAGTTATACGAGTGTTCAGGTCTTTCGTTCACAGGGTCGCTATGAGTCACCTACCACTCAATGGCACTTAACAACAACAACAACAATATAAATAAGGAGAGGGAGATCCTCAACCAGATATATTGACATGGTGACTGCTGCAATCGGCTTTTGTGTGTCAGAAAGTTTGAGGAGCGCACAGGATAGAACAGGGTTCAAATCTTTGTTCATAGGGTTTCTATGAGTCATACTCAACTGACGGCATTTAACAACAACAACAATATAAACTAAACAGTTCTTTATTATGGGCATAGTAATGGGATAAATAAAAGACTAAAAATGTAAAGATATAAGCCAAGTATTATTCTGAGATACCTTTCATTGGTTTTCTTAAATCTCTGGGAAACTGAATTAAGAATGCTGGATGATTAAATAAAGACTGAGTGAATGACAGAATCCAGAAAAGTGCAATTGAGATAAAATTGCTTACATTTTTTCTTTAACCTTAAAACAAGTAGAAAAGCTTGTAAGGTGAATAACACCAGAGAGGCGTGTACGCCTTAAAACAATCAGCAGCAGGATGTCAAAAGGGCAGGATTTTCACAGGGGTAAAGCTTAGAAAAACAGTTCCTTTTATTCTTCTCTTTTACTGCCTTCAAGATAATCAACATCACAAATCAAAAGGTGTTTGAACTGCTGAATGGGAAATTAGATGGGTCTATAAACTTTTGTCAAAATGAAAATGTAAAAAATGAAGGTGAGGGGGGAGAAAGAATCTATGCCCATAGGGAACTGACATATTGATGTGTATCATTAACCAGAAAATACAGACATAAAATACAAAATTAATAGTATAGTGAGAGAAGAAGAAATATTCTTCTTGGATATCTTCTGTGCAAATGAACAAAACAAACTTCCATGGTAACAGAGTGTCCAAGCCTACAACTGGGCACCAAGCTGCCTGTTAGCTAGCCACTGCCTGTATCACTGGTTAGCTGATAACAAAGTAAGATCTCCCCTTTGCTCTCCATACCTCTCTGCTGACCAGGGGAGAGACTGTCCTCAGGGGCCCTCCACCAGGAGGCCAGAAGTGTTTTCCCAAACCCCACTCCTATCCATCCCAGCATCAAGTATGTGGCATTGTGGCACCATGTGTGCTATCTCCAACATCTAACTAACAACTGCCCCCTAGACAGGCAGAAGGACCATCTCTGACAGGGCTTCCTGCCTCTGATATTTTCCAGGAGTGACAGAATGTATCCTTGTTAGAACTTCCCTGTGAGTTTGGCCCCAGTCTCATGCTGTGACCATGTTTAGTGCTGCATACTCTTTACCTTTCAGAACAAGAGAAGCACACCATCCTTGGGTTGTCAGTGACTCTGCTTGGCAAGGTGCCTTTCTTGGTCTAGTACCAAGTGCATGTCACCCCACATTTGGAGGGGTACTGTTCATCTACTAGGGATAGAGTAGTGGGCTGTCCCTGAGATAGTGCTCTACCTGCAACTTCATGTTTGGTCTGAGGGATGCTATCTCTGGCAGGGTGTGCTTGTGAATCTGTCACTGAGTGTATGTTATCCTACAGTTTTAAAGGCACATTTTTTCTCTCAACACCTGCAGTGAGTGTTATATCCTGGACTCTCTCTTAGGACAGAAATCTTACCTCCTGTCATTTAAGCATTGGTTAGTGTATCAGTCAGGTGCCCCACCATCTCCCAGATTTTTTTTTCACTATTTGTTCCTTTTTTCCTAATCATCTCATCTTTTTTTTCAGTTATTGTTTTTCTTCTCTCTTGCTTTTTCTCCTTTCTGCCCTTTTAAAAAATTGCTTCCCAGTTAAAGAAAAAAAAAAGCCAAACAAAAACAACAAAACCCAAAACCTCAACCAACACCCTTATTTTATATTGATGTTCATATAAAATTTGTATACAATGTGTTTCACACTATCTATTCTTCGTTCACATTGTGTTTCATACAATCATTACCATTCACTGTGTTTCATAAAATTAATCACCATTACACTATGCCCACCATTCTTTTTTCTGTCCATTCTTGCCTTTGCATTTATTTTTACTTTCTGCTATCTTTGAAATGGGTCATTTCTTTGGTTTACGTTTAAGTCTATGAACCATCTTTTGTTAATTTTTATAAGCATTGTCATTATTTTAAATATATTATACTGTCCTTTCCTCATTTAATTGTCTTAGCTTTCTTTGTCAAAGATTAGTTGAATATGAGAGTGTGGGTCAGCTTTTAGGATCTATCATTTGTTCCAGTGATATTTTTGTCTGTTCTTTGACAAATAACATATGGGTTTTGATCACTTTAGCTTTATACATGCAGTGAAATGTAGTAGGTACTGTCCGACAACTTTGTTCTTACTGATTATTCTAGGTTTTTTCCTTTCTATATATTTAGCATAAACAAAATAACTAAACTAGAATTTTTATTGACATTGTGTCTAATATATAAACAAATTGGGAAGAATCAAGATCTTAGGTTTTTCTCATGTAGATCTTGTGCATATTTTATTAGATTTATACCTAAGTATATAATTATTTTAGGTGCTAACATAAGTGATACTATGTTTTGAATTTCAAACTGCAATTGCTTATTCCTGAAAATAGGAAATAAAATTATGCCTATTTGTTAACCTTATATCTGAACAACTTGTTATAAACTTTTATTGGTTTCAGAAGTTTGGGCTTTCTTTGTTTTGGGATTTGGTTGGCTGTTCTTTTTTTTTCTTTTTGAGGGGCAGTCATTTTAGATTTTAATACAGTCAATCATTAATTTATATTGTCTGAGAATGAAATAGTTTTATATCTTGGTGCCCTACCTCTATACCTTTCATTGTCTTATTATGTAAAGAAACTTTGGTAATGCTATAGTTAAGACTGCTGGTTGCTAAGCAAAAGTTTGTCAGTTCAAACTCACCAGCCACTCTATGGGAGAAGACGGATTCTCTGGCCTTATTTCTATTACCAATATCAGGTTTTCCAACTATCAGTCCTTCTTTGTTTCCCAGAATTGAACTTCACTCCCAATTATTATTAATATACCATGATTGCATGTTCAGTCAATTTCAGAACACAAAAATCATTTGTTGTAGGGTGCTAGGGTGTTGGCTCATACTGGTAGTGACCCCATGGACGACAAGTCAGTACTTTGCTGTATCCTATATTCCTCTTATAGTCTCTAATGACCAAACCCACTGTGTGTCAATCATCTCATTCAGAGTTGTCTTCTTTTTCACAGAGCCTCTACTTTTCTAAATATGATGTCCTTTTCTGTGGACTGATTGATGCCTTCTGACAACATGCTCAAAGTAAGCCTCTAAGGAGCACCCGGCTGTGCTTTCTCTAAGACATCTTGAGTATTCTTTCAGCAATCCATGGGATCTGCTGTACCCTTCACCGACATCACAATTCATTGTTATAAATTATTCTTTGGTTTTCCTTGTTCTATGCCCAACTTTAAGATGCATAGGAAGCAATTAAAAATAGTATGACTTGGATCAGACACACTTTCATCTTTACCTGACATCCTTGTACAGGATCTTCACCCAAAAAAAAAATCAGAAGCTTGATTAAAATGTCAAAGACACTCTAATTAAAAGGACTAAATGCCCATGATTATGGATTGTAAGACGCAATATTGTTATGATACTGTTTTATCTCAACTTGATCTACAAATTCAAGGCTATTTCAATAAAAAGTTTGAGAAAACTTTATTGTAACAACCAACAATTGACATAAAAATTTACATGATAAGGAAAAGCTGAAATTAGCCAGTACAATCCTTAAGAAGAACCAAGTTGGAAAATTAGTCCTGATCTGCTTCATGAGTTACCATACAGCCGTAATAGAGCACAAGACAGGGTGATACGGGCAGAATAATCTATAGATTAATGCAACAGATTAAAGTCCCCCCAAAAGACTCATTCATATAGTCAACTGATATTAGACAAAAGCCCAAAGATAATTCAGAGATGATAGAATAATCTTTTCAGCACATTGTGCTGAAATAAATGGTTATTCATATCACACAAATGTGAATCTAGTATGGACTTCATATTTCACAAAAACTTAAAACAAAGTGAATCATATACCTAAATGTGAAATACATAACTATAAACTTTTTTCTTTTGATAAAAATAAATGAACCATTACATCATGATACAAGTCAGTACATATAGTAACAAATATGTTGATAGTATGTCTTGATTTGATTTTGTGAAAATGGTACTTACCCGTTATATTCTTCTCCAAATCCCGTAAAAGTGGTTCAGTCATGAGAAACTATGTCAGATAAGTTGCAGAAGAAAGGAATCTTACAAAATATAAAAAAGTCCAACAAATTATCACATCATATTTGGTGCAGGATACGGGAAATTTTAGATATGTTTCTCATAGGGTGGCTGTGTTTTATAGTCAACTCCATAGCACCTAAAAGCAACAACCAGAGGGGGAAAAGAATTAAAGTTAGTTACCTGATCCTTGTTCCGAGATGGAAATCATGAGAAGCTGAAGAAGAAGATGAAAAGAAAGAGCCATAGACTTGGTGAGAAAACTTTCACAACTACTTGAAGTATTTTCTTCTTTTACTGGACTTCTTGCTCTGGGCTTCCTCCTGAATCTGAATCTGAATCTGTTACTCATTAACTAAGAAAAAAAGGAAGCTCTGGCTGCATCCTCTCCAAGACCACCTGTTAGTTCTTTTGGATGTCTCTGGGCTATTCAGTGCTCTTTTCCAATATGACAGTTCAAAGGCATCAATGCTTCTCCTGTCACCCTTATTCATTGTCCAGTTGTAAGATGTATAACAAGTAATCAGAAAAACCATGGCTTGAATCAGACAGGTGATTTCTCCTCAATAACTTGGAGATGTCCTTGACTGCAAAACTTTCCCAGTACAGTATGTTTCCTACTTTCCAGACTTCTTGTACCAAGGGTGTTGACTATGGATCAAAGTATAATGAAGTTGTTACGAGTTTCAAGCTTTCCTCCATCTATCTGATACCAGATAGTTTTTCTCTGATGTTGATGCCACATTCTGTTTCACAGGGTCCAGCATACAGACTTAATAAGTCTGGAGAGAGAATACAACCCTGACACACTCTTTTCTTAATTTTAAGTAATGAAGAAGACAAAACATACTATTAAAATACATACCATTAAAATTTTCCATTGATCTATGTGACTGTCATTGTACTAGTACCATGTGGTTTTAGTTACTATGCCTGTGTAGTTTTTCAGAAATGCTTTGCTTATTTGGGGTCTGTTTCCTTTCTAGTAAACTTGCCAATTACCTTTTCTACTTCTTTCAAAAGTGAGTTTGGTTTATGTATTAGAATTGCATAAAACATATAGATTGATTTTTGGTTGTTGCTGTTGTTAAGTGCCGTTGAGTCGCAGGTGACTCATAGTGACCCTATGAAGGAGAGCCTTCGATGCTTGGGGGACTTTCATCCTCTCTCCAGGTTCATAGGGTTTCCAGAGGCAAGCTATTATGGAAGTGGATGCCACTCCTCCTTCCAAGCTTGTTTTAATCGGGGAGGTCCACTCCACTCTCTGTCCACATTGGGTAGCCAACCATTAATGCATTTGACACATCAGTGTCACAGGGTTCAGCCTCACAGCAACCACAAGTGAGCACGGTTCTGCAACTTGTATACACCAGGGTTATATGACCTAGAGAAATGTCTAAACAAAAGCAATGAAAGACAAGCCAGAGGGCCGTGGATTAAAGTCACCCTCCTTTGGCTTAGTAACATTGTTTTCTGTCCACTGGTCCAGCTGATCTCTTTCTCTCTCTATGTTGATATTATTGTTGTTAAGTGCCGTCGAGTCGCAGACGACTCATAGCGACCCTACGAAGGAGAGTCCTCGACGCTTGGGTACCTTTCCTCCTCTCTCCAGGTTCATAGGGTTTCCGGACATTTTCACTATGTTGAGTCTTCCCATCCACAAATAGAACATTGTTCTATTTAGTCAAGTCACTTATTGTTTCTTGGAGTATTGTTTTGTAGTTTCATTTATAAATGTTTATGTCTCTAATTAGGTTTTCCCCCAATTATCTCAATTTTTTGTTGGCTTTTATAAATGGTTTTGCTTCATTAGTTTCTTTTTCCATATTTTCTTTGCTACTATAAAGAAATTTCACTGAATTTTGTATGTTGAATTCTGCCACTTTACTAAATTATTCTATGAAGTCTAACATTTTTTTGTTGGTGTTGAATCTTTGGAGTTTTGTGTTTACCCTATCATATTGTCTGCATATAGTGACAGTATTGCCACCTCTTTGCCAATTTAGATGCCTCTTGTTTCTTTCCCTTGTTTCATTGCCACAGCAAGTGATGTTAATCAGACACAGAAAGAAAGTAGAGACACTAGAAAATGAATTATAAAAAAGAGGAAGGCTTAGGCAGAGGTCCTCTCACAGCTTAACACTGTGAAAAGGTCCTTTTCCTAGTTGCTCTATGGTTTTTATATATGGTTTAAGCCAATGATATTAAAAAAAAATTCTGTCCTTTGAGGTTATATTTTCCTGATACTTAAGTGTTGCCAGCATAACAATGGGTATGCCTAATCTTTAAACTAAAATTAAAGTTTAGACAAGGCATCCCCTCTGGTGGGAGGCTGGGAGGCACCTTTTGTTTGCAGAGGGCATCCAGTATCTCCTCCGAGGGGTGGGGCGGAATTCTCTGTTTGCAGAGGGCACTGAGACCTGCCTGGACTCTGATCTCAGCTGTGGCCTGGCTATCAGTATGCCTAGCTATTCACAAGCAACCACATCCAACACAATATTGAATAAGAGTGGTCATAGAGGACATTCTTGTCTGCTCCCTGTTTGCAAGGTTTTTAGTAATGTTTAGTTATGTTTTTGGAACATTGCCAAAATTGCCTGGTTTGGGAATTAGGATTATTGTTACTTCATAGAATGACTCTTGGAGTATTCTTCTTTTATCTATTTTTAAAAATAATTTCAGTAGAATTGGTAACAATTCATCTCTAAATGTTTGCCCTCCTGGAAGGCTTTTGTATTTAAAAGTCGGTTAGGCCCTTGGGCCTAGTGTAATCATAATTTAGAGGGACATTCTTCTCAGCTGTCAGTTTGCTGTACTGAGATTACCTGGAGTGTCTATGATGCTGAAGTCTGTTCCATTGGGGTGTCAAATGCCATAACGGTTACTACCTATGGTGGATACTGTTTGGTGGAGCTCCCAGATTAAGACATGTTTGGGAGCAGGCGTGGCATCCACTTCTTAAACAACATGCCTCTGGAAACTCTATGACCTTTGAGAAACAAAATTAGTTACAGAAAGACTTGGGGTCTTTTGTTCATAGGGTTGTTATGAGTTGTGCTTGACTCAACGGCAATCAACAACAGGATTGGTAACAATTCATCTCTAAATATTTGGTAGATTCATCCATGGAACCATCTGTGCCAGGACTTTTTTTTAGGGGGAGTCTTTTTATGAACTGTTCAA